TAATTACACATTTTTTCTCAGTAACTGTAACTGATTACAATTACTTTTATTTTGTAATTAAATTACGTAATTCCGTTACATGTAACTAGTTACTCCCCAACCCTGTATATATATATATATAATCTTAATGATACTAAAATATATAGTTTAATAGCAGGGCTCCAGACTAAATGGTTGCATCTGATCATTTTTGGTGCAACTAAATATTTTAGTTTGGTTTAGTTTATTAGCATTTTATCTGCATCCAAACTCAAGATCATGTGGATAGATTAAATATAAAATTTGTATAATTAAGTCTTGGTTTTAAATTTTGTAAAAGTTTTAATTTTTATTTGTAATTATGTTAGTATTCCTAAGCATGAGTGAAGCAGAGAATTGTGCTGGTGTTTGAAAGTGATCTGTTGATATTCAGGGTGCCCCTATGAACCAGCGGCGTGTGGATTTCTATCTGGGAACCATGGGAGACTGTCTTATAGCTGTTGGGGGACGCAATGATAGTGGTGCTTTGTCTTCTGTAGAAGTGTACCATCCTGCTGAGGACTACTGGACCTACGTTGCAGGATTGCCCAGGTTTGTTATTTGTTTTTGAACATTTTTTTTGAAAGGTTGCACCAGTTTATGTGGATATTTATTTTGAATCCTCTTTGTACACTACTGTTCATACGTTTGGGGTCATTAAGTTTTATTTTTTTGAAGAAAATTAGTAGTTTTATTCAGCAAGAGTGTGTTAAATTGGTCAAGTGACAGTGAAGGCATGTATGTTTCAAAAAATTCTGTTCTTTTGAATTTTCTATTCATCAAAGAGTCCTGATAAAAATGTATTCCGATTTTCAAATATATTCAACAGCACAACTTTTATATTTATATATATATATTGTTATTAAAACTTATTATAACTAAAATATTTTCTTCTTTCATAGATTCACATATGGTCATGCAGGCACTATTCACAAGGGCATTGTTTACATCTCAGGGGGCCATGATTACCAGATCGGCCCTTACAGACGTGACATGCTAAGTTATGACCCCAAAACTGCGGACATGTGGACAGAGCGACAGGCCATGATCTTGGCTCGAGGCTGGCACTCTATGGCGTCTCTGGATGACAGGATCTATGTCATCGGGGGCAGTGATGACCATGAGGACAGCATGGAGCGTTTTGACATATTGGGGGTGGAAGCCTTTGACCCGCAGACTGATCAGTGGACCAAGATAGCCCCTCTCAGGTACCCTAACAGTGAGGCAGGGGTGGAGGTCTTGGATGGAAAGATCTACGTATTGGGAGGGTACACCTGGGAGGCCATGGACTTTTCTCAGGGCACTCAAGTGTTTGTTCCAGACGAGGGCCAGTGGGTCTTAGGTCCAAATCTACCAAAGCACATTGCTGGAGCCTCAGCGTGTGTGTGCCTTGTCAGACCGCAGCAAACCAATAGTATAGAGGGTCATACATCAGGACACACAGAGAGAGACAAACAGAATTCCAGCCAAGAGCAACACCGGTGATTGTCCGGGGATCTGAAGTACACTTCTATGATGAGAAAATTGACTTTCTGAATATAGGTTGTCATAAGCCTAATGCCATTGGCTGCTTCTCAGATCCTTTTGAAAAGAGGTCAGCAGGAGATACTGTGAGATGTTAGACTATGAATTGAAGGTGAAAAGCACAAATTAATATTGTAGTTTTTGTTACAAACGTTTTTGGAGTTTTCGAAGATGTCCTGGTGGCTTAGTGCTTCTTCTGAGTAACAATTAAAACATTCTGAAGTAACCATTTTACATGAGTTTTTGCAGTGTTTTGTGTTTCAATTTTGATTTTGTAAATTACAATACCATTCAAACATTTGGGGCCAGTAAGGTTATTATTGAAATAAAATTAATACTTTTATTTAGCATAGACATTAAATTCATCAGAAGTGTCAGTAAAGACATTTACATAGACATATACAAAATAATTCTATTTAAAAATAAATGCAAATTCCACAAAAACATATTAAACTAATAAAATTAAATTAATAAAAATGTTTCTTGAGCACCGAAATGGCATATTGATTGAATGATTTCTAAAGGATCATGAGACACTGAAGAGTGCAGTTATGGCTGCTGAAGAATCAGCTTTGCCATCACAAGAATAAATTACATTTCCAAATATATTCTATTAGAAAACAGTTCTTTTAAATTGTAATAATATTTCACAATATTACTGTATTTTTGATCAAATAAATGAAGCCTTGGTGATCATAAGAGACTTCTTTCAAAAAGAATAGAAAATCTTACCGCCTCAAAACCTTTGAACAGTAGTGTATGCCTTAATGCTTTATTTTAACCAAATGAAGTTACAATAATGACATCTGTTAGCGTTTCTCAAAAATATATTTTTTTTTCCAGTGCCTTAAAATGTCTCAGTTTAGCTATACACATATGAATGCCTGAACCTAACAATCGAAAAAGTGTCTTATTTGCTCTAGCCTCCAGAAGTGCTTGGTCATTTTTTTCCTAGGTGGGTTCTTGGTCATCCAAGGCTAACAGCATTTCACTTGAAGGGGTAGAAGGGATGCGATTCCAATCTGAGGAGCAACAACACCATCCAGTTAACTGCTAGCAGTATGTAGTTAGTATACTGTTCACATTATGAACAAAATACCCTCATTATATACTACATTTGCCAAAATGCGGCATGCATGCCATATTGTATCCCACAATGCAATGCATTTAATAAGACCTTCCATTTCCAAATGGATTGCAAGGAATATCCGCTGCATTTTAATATCTCCTTCTTGATTTCTCATGGTTGGTCTGTCACAAGTTAAGACGTTTATACATAAAGTCAAAATATTAATAATAAACTATAAACATGTAACACTGTTAATATCATGTAACAACAATGTAGCATCTACTGTTTGAAGTGTGTATTGTTGCATATTTCATGCTGTTTTACAAACGATTTAGTAATATACTCTTACTGTTTTATGATGCAGGCCTTCCAGCCTCGATTCAGAGACCTGAGAGCATTCATATCCTCTTCATCCAGAGTGAAATCAAAGATCTGCACCCAGACAAATAAGTAGTTAGTAGTTACAGTATCTAAAAGAAATTCTCATCTTGATCAAAATGTGACAGGAAAATGTGTATTAGGCCTACTGTTTGTCAATTAAAGGGATAGTTCACCCAAAAATGAAGATTCTGTCTTGATTTACTCAAAACATTTGACGGTAACCTCTGACTTCCATAGTATGGAAAAAAATTACAGTGGAAGTCAATGGCTACTGTCAACTGTTTGGTTCCCAACATTCTTCAAATTATATTATTTTGTGTTCATCAGAAGAAAGAAACTCATACAGCTTTGGAACAAGTGGAGGGTGAGTAAATGATGACAGAATTTTCACTTTTGGGTAAGCTATCCATTTAATATTTTGCTTTTGAATATACCAGGATGAAACCACAAGATAACAGCTGACATCATTAGGAGAAAAAAATACTATATGTGACCCTGGAGCACAAAACCATTCATAAGGGTCAATTTTTCAAAATTGAGACAATAGTTGGCCGAGATACAACTATTTGAAAATCTGGAATCTGAGGATGCAAAAAAATCCAAATATTGAAAAAAATCGCCTTTAAAGTTGTCCAAATGAAGTTCTTAGCCATGCATATTACTACTCAAAAATTAAGTTTTGATATATTTACAGTAGGAAATTTACAAAATATCTTCATGGAACATGACCTTTACTTAATGTCCTAATGATTTTTGGCATAAAAGAAAAATCAATCATTTTGAACCATTCAATGTATTTTTGGCGACTTAAGAGACTTAAGACTGGTTTTGTGGTCCAGGGTCACATGTAATATTGAAATATATATGGAATATTCAGAAGTTTACCTTGGTGTTCTCCAAAATGTGGTGGGCTTTCATGCTTTTCGGAATCACAACAATGTCCTGCTGAACGTGATACCGCAACAGAACCTGCGGACCAATCAAATGACACATTAAAACCCGAAATGAGCAAAGTAAATGATGCACAATACTGAGAAAAGTGACCTGTGCAGGGGTCCGTCTGTGCTTTTTGGCGATATCCCCAACAACAGGATCCTGCAGTAACAGCATGGGATCCGTTTCTCCTCTTTGACTGCAGAGGCAAGGAAATGGAAGTAGAAGAATTGTACAAAATAGCATGTGATGTTTAGGTTATACTCTTTGAGAAATGTTTTGGTGAACTCATCTTTCATTCCCCACCTTCTCATTGCTTTGATAAGATTAAGAGCTGATTCTAGTTGAAAAGGACCTTGAACTTACTATTCTGAAGGTCTTCCAGGTGAGCCAAATGGACTGTAGGCTGTTAAAGCAATGTTTTTGGACTTACAATACTCAATCAGATCAGACTGAACAAAGTAAGGATGGAGCTCCACCTGCAGATATACAAATAACTATTAACAATATTTCTCATGCTAATATTATGAGATAAATATTTCTCTCATAGGTTACTCAAACCTAATTTGATCTACACCTTGTCAGATGTCAAATCTAATCATGGTAATATGACATTCCCAGTTTATGCACCTGATTAACCGCAGGTGGGATTTTGGCCACGGATAGCAATCTCTCCAGTTGCTCGATTGTGAAGTTGGACACACCGATACTTTTCACCTTTCCTGTGGCTTTCAGAGCTTCCATTCCCTGAAACAGATGGCAGCACACTCTAAAGACCTTGAAGACATCATTTTGTTATTATTAATGTTAGTGGTTAGCATTACCTTCCACACATCGACATAGTCTATGTCAGTTGTAAAAATCTTTCCATCCTTTTCTGGGAAAAGCTCATCACCCATTTTCTGTAAGTTATTGTAAAGTAGCAAACAATTAGTATACTTGAATTTGATCTACGAATAATTTTGCAGATTAAAAATAGTAACTGATGCAGAGGCTACATAAAAGCTTTTGATAACTGTGTCAATACTGAACTCTCCAGCAAACTATGTTTAGGAGACTACTGATAAATATTATGTTGATACTAATATTTATTTATAGTAGAAAAGTATTTGGGCACTTAAATACCACTTTAAATTACATATTATACTTTTTATATAACTGGGTTAAAATACTACTACTACTACTAATAATAATAAATGCAATTCTTATTATAATTGTTAATTATAATTAGTAGTATTATAGTAGTAGTAGTAAAGTACTATATATATATATATATATATATATATACACACACACACGTATGTGTATATAAGAAAATTCTTATATATATATATATACTGTATGTGTGTGTGTGTGTGTATGTAATATAATAATTTTAATAATTTTTGGAAATAATATATTTATAAATACATGTAAATATAAATATACATTTATAAATAATTTTAAAAATCTAATAATTGTATTTATAATTCTAATAATTTTCATTTAAAATAATTATTTATCAAAATAATTTTTGTTTTCTTGTATTACCTTCAGACCTACTGGAAAGTGCACTAAGTATAGGTCCAGGTAGTCAAGCTGAAGGTCATTCAGAGATTTATTCAAACAAACAGGAATGTCTTCAGGGGCATGATGGGTACACCACAGCTGGAAAAGAGAAGCATCATTATTGCATGATGATTTGCTCCTTTTAAATGAGCACACATTGATTTAATCTTAGAGCGCCAACATAACTTGAACTCACTTTACTGACTATGAACATGTCTTGGCGTCTGATGATGCTCTGCAGTATCATGGACTGGATGGCCTTCCCCACCTCTTCCTCAACCTGGTAGCTGTAGGCTGTGTCTATATGCCGATATCCAGCAGCGATCGCTGCCTCAACTGCCCTCTGACACATATCTGAGCAAGTGGACTGTTCATCATGTAGTAAAAGATTAAAGCATTGCTAGTTTCTGTTGCATAAGGTTATGACATTATTACACTTTTAAAGATGACAAGATCACTGTCCTTGACATGGTCAAGTCTTAAAAATTAAGACTCAGTCAAAAAGACATAGGGAAACCAGAGCAATTAATTTATAATATATCAGTGTGTTATTTTAGTATAATTGAGATGCTATTATAGTTTTTGTTAATATATTCAATTAGATTTTATTTTCTGTTTTCATTTTGTTTAGTGTATGTATTGGGGCTACTATGTGGGGCAAGTTGTCACAATAGAAACCTGTTATCAGATAGCCTATTATTATTACAATCATTGAAACTAACATACAAAATCACCGCTAGCATTTGTGCAATGAAACTTCGGACTTTAGTTCTCCATACAACTTCCCAATGTGACAACTAGCCCCTACAGTTCCCCATACCTCTATTCAAGTAAATCTAAATGTTAAAACTGTCCAGCTTTTTTAGTTAGTATGAGGCCATTGTAGAGATGTAATGCTACTACCTCTGGCTTCCATGTTCCAAGTCCCAGTAGTGGCATGTATGTGCCATCATTTAGTTCAATCTTCCTAGGTTGTTCAGCGCTCTCCTCCATGTAAGAAAGATTTGTGCAATGTAAAATGAGTAGCAGCTAAGTGGATTGACTTGTCTTTCCTGTCGTTTTCCTATGCCTCTATATTTCTAGCTCAAATCTTCCTCTTTGCAGTCTAAGCAGACCTGCCTTCTCTTTATCTTTGCAGTTAATCATTGAACTTGACAAGGAGTGTGTCTGTGAGTATGTGTATGTGGCTGCAGATCATTTACCACTATTGTTCCCGTATGTATGTTTCCTGAAACTACATTCTGTTGGCACAGTTGTCAATGTGACCTTAGAGCTCATGTGACCCTGTGTTACTTCCCCAAGAAGTGTGTGTGCAAATCAGGAAGTATCCTCAAAGCTGATTGAGCTAAACTAAAATGTTAAGAATAAATGTAAGTTTTGAGCTCTGACCTTTAATTATCTTTTAACAAAGTATAGAAAGGTATGAAAAGAGCAAAGATTTGCCAACCCTCTTTGTATTGTGTAATTTATGCATCAAACACTAGATGGCAGCAGAGTGACACAAAAGGCTGAATCACTTTATGCAACTTCATGCATTTTATTTGATCGAATAGCATCCGATCGTGAAAAGAACAGGTGAAAGAATATATAGAATTTATATATGTTTTTATGTATTTTTTTTAAATAATAATAATTGTTGTTGTTGTTATTTTAATCACAGATTGTATAACACAAGACAGGGGACATCCAAAAACGTACGTTTTTACTCAAAATACGACGCTCTGAAATTTTACAAACTCACATAGAACTATTAAATGACGGCTTACATTTTTTTCCCATTTGCATGTATTAACATGATATTTACCCAGGAATAAAACAAGGTTAGATAGGATTTAGACTAATTTTGTGACTAAGTGTAAATGGAACAGTTTTAATCAATCGATCGGATTGTCAGAGAAAACCATTTCCCTCCCCTATTTTTATGGAATATTTCAGTATTTGGGTCATTCTACAGAAACGTCCACTTTTCTGTCCCTAGACTTTACAGAAATATTACAATTGAAATACACATTAGGGTTACAATATTTTTATATTTTAAAATGAAACAACATGTTATTTGAACAATTACACCTTCCTGAGCTATCAATGTGGCATTATCTTTTTTATTATTAATTATATAAGAAATAATATTTCATAAAAACCTTTAAAATTGCCAAAGAAGTAAGGTAACACCAGTGACAAAAAAAGGGTACATGCGATCTTTAAATAAATATACAAAAAAATATAAAAAATCATTAAGCTGTCATTTATGTGTATTCATAAAGTCAAAAGGCAATCTAATAATGCGGTCTAAGTTTAAATGTTAAAAAAAGAAATACATTTGAAGACATCTTGCCATACCAAAAGTGGACGTTTCTGTAGAATGACCCATTTATTATAAATGATTTATCCCTCGTAACCTTATTCAAAATAACTTCCCTTAACTCTTGCAAGCTGAAACGACATCTCTTATTATGTGTTTATTGTGTGCGCGAGGGCGGGAAAGAGCCTACGATCCAACATAATAATAATAATAATAATATTAATATTAATAATAAACTTTGGTCACATATTGAGATACAATTTTATTTAAATAATTTTGAGGTGTAACAACTGAAAACAAAAATCTAAAAAACATTAGATGTCATATAGCCTATGTGCCAAGTGGTTGAACATGCAAATTAAACACGTGCACTACAAAATATTACATTCCTAAGACGTCACATATAGGAAAAATACTTCACATCATGCAGGTTACACATCAAATGGCTTTATGGTTTGGTAACAAGGCTGCCCAAACTTGCCACAATGTATGTTACAGTGTAGAAAAAAAAAGACTACAATATTTTACAATAATGAAAAAAATTGCATATTCATAAAAAAAAAACACCTACCCTCCCATCCCTTCCCTATATAATACTAGCCATAGTACATATAAAAATATAAATATGATGTTTTCATAGAACTGTGGGTTTCCTGAAAGGGAAAGCATGTCAAATGTAATGCACATAACTGTGTCCTCTCTTATAACGCTTTAATTCATTCTTCAGCTTCATACACCACTTTGCTCTGCCCTTTGACCTTTCATTTCCTCCTTTGAGCTTTCTTTCTCTGTCTGTTTCTTTCACTGGTCCAAATCGTGGCTGTCTTGGCTCCGAGGTCGATAGTGACGTGCACAGAATTCTCTGATCCGAATGCATGCCTCAATCATCATCTCCTCCGGGACTGTTACCACAATTCGGAAGAAGTCTGGATATTCAAATGCCTACAGAAAGAAACAACTTAGGTATCAGAATGGATACAACCAATCTTTGTGACAAATAATAGGTCAAATGCACTGTAACAGAATAAGGTAAGATGAATAATTCACCGTAGCGGGCAAACAGAACACAGATTGCTCAGTGACCAGCCGTTCAGTGAACTCCACATCATTCTGGAAATCTGGGAAGTGTTCCATCTCGATCCCCACCTGAGGATGAGCCAGCATAAAATACATTTACCCTCTGCATAACTTGCAACTTTGCACTTTTTGCAAACATGCTCACTCCTTAATATGGACATCCTGATGTGCAAATGTGCCAAGTATGATTAAGTGTCAATCAGGCCATTTAAAGAGATAGTTCACCCAAAAATTCTGACATTATTTGCTCACACTCATGTCCTTTCAAAAAGCACCATTTAAGTATAAATAAAAATGCAGAAAAATAAATCATCTTGAGTCTGATCTTTTCATTGAATCATTTGATCCAGTTCAAAAAACGAGTCTGCATGATTTGTTTATGAATCAAACTGCGCCAGTCAACAGGTTCAACTCAATCTAGCATGAAATGAAAATTCATCCTATTTATTTTCTAAATGCATATTATTGATCTTATTGGGAATAATTTATTCATGCATATGTTCCTTTTTTTTTTTTTACCTTATACTTTTTAATAAAAAAAAAATCTGGTGATGTATGCCTATTCCAATAATTTAGTTCACTTAAGCCCTGCCCCTTTCCTACAGTTGACTGCAAGCTCAGATCTGCCTCCGTCCAATCAACAACTGATGGCTAGAAGAAGGAAGATATATATAGGCTATATATATACTTGTCATTTTGGAGTTGGATAACAATAAAGGAGAGTAAATGATGACAAAATTGTAACTTTTGGTTAAACTACGCCTTTAGTTTAATTACGTTTATAAACAATGATGCATCATTTTCAACCACTCTTATCTTATAATACTCAAAATTTCACTTACCATAATGTACATGGCTCCTGTTGGCATCACTGGATTCAGCCCAGGAACAGTTGACAACTCTGAGAAACATATCTCTGAGTTTGACTGAAGAGGAACATAAAAATTGTATCATTGTCATAGTCAGATGTTGAATCTAAAAGCTTTTCTCTCTAAAGTTCCTCTCCTCTTACCTTTAGGAAACTGATGGTGCCTTGATAGAACTCGGGTGGCGTGTCATTCAAAATGCTTTCTAATGCACCCTGAACCACAGTACAGGGTCCCAAAATGCGCTGGCTTAGTTTTACAAGACCCTCTCGAATCTAGAGTGAATATTAGCGTTATTGATATGTTTTGTGTGTGTGTGTGTGTGTATTTCATTTTCTTCTACAGGTGAGAGGCTAATACTTACTCCGGTTCCAAATATGTCATTATGATCATGAATGAGGATCCAGCCCATTCTCCAGCCAGGAACCAACCAGCACTTGGCAAGACCACCACAGGACAGGATGGGCACGTCACTGCTGAGAGGTGCCAAAGGCTGAAAATCACAGCCCGGGAATACCTGCAGAACAACAGATACACTCAGCCCACTCATTACAACACTGAAAATCGCTATATTGTTCTTGAAACATACTTGAAATATAATATAATAAAATATAATATATCAAGAAATAATCTTTAAAATAAAGATTAAATGCAAAACTAAAGATAAAATGCAAGAGGGATGATATTTTATCAAAAGTTTGGAGACAGTAAGAGTTTTTGATGTTTTTCAAAAAAAGCTCACCAAGGCTGCTTTTATGATTGTAAAGATAACAGTATGTAGATGATTGTAAAGATAACAGTGTATTAGTTACATTTTAGAATTTTCTGATTTATTGAGTTACAAACACCTCAGACCGTCAACCGTATTAAGTTGAAAAACCACCATTTTGCACAATACAAAAGTTCTCTCTTGGCCACTACTGTCCAGAGTTGTGGACCCATTGCCCCCTCAGGTGCCAAAGGCTGAAAATCACAGCCCGGGAATACCTGCAGAACAACAGATACACTCAGCCCACTCATTACAACACTGAAAATCGCTATATTGTTCTTGAAACATACTTGAAATATAATATAATAAAATATAATATATCAAGAAATAATCTTTAAAATAAAGATTAAATGCAAAACTAAAGATAAAATGCAAGAGGGATGATATTTTATCAAAAGTTTGGAGACAGTAAGAGTTTTTGATGTTTTTCAAAAAAAGCTCACCAAGGCTGCTTTTATGATTGTAAAGATAACAGTATGTAGATGATTGTAAAGATAACAGTGTATTAGTTACATTTTAGAATTTTCTGATTTATTGAGTTACAAACACCTCAGACCGTCAACCGTATTAAGTTGAAAAACCACCATTTTGCACAATACAAAAGTTCTCTCTTGGCCACTACTGTCCAGAGTTGTGGACCCATTGCCCCCTCCTCTATCTTCACTGTCCTTCATGACCTAAAGCCCAGAATGCTGTCACCACACACAACTCTAATCCCTTCAGTGCTTATGTAGTTTCCACTGCTAAACGAGGCTGAGCTGAGCCAGGGAAACGCACACCACCCAACAGGAGGATGCTCCCTTACAACTGCAGTACACTTTAATGCAATTCCAAAGGGTTTTTTTCACAGCTATGCCATAGAAGAACCATTTTGGGTTCCTCAAAGAACCTTTGAGTGAACAGTTCTTAAAAGAACCAATTTTTCTAAGTGTGAAGTACATTGTAATAATCTGAAGAACCTTATTTCCACTATAAAAACCCAAATGTTCCATGGATGTTAACAGTTCTTCATAGAACCATAGATGCCTATAAAGAGCCTCTAATTTTTGGAGTGTAAAAAAAGTTGCTATGGTCGAAAATTGTCTTACAGATAAACTAGAC